GGCTCAGCCCACTTCTTTCTGTCTTTCATGCTTGAAATCGGTGTCCTTCCAAGGCCCGGGGTTGGGAAGGCTGTGGACAGATCCTAGTGGCCTCTGGCTATTGCTCAAACTTGGTTTTGTTGAATTGGTGCAGCTCTTCCTTGCAAAGGTAATTGATAACATACTTCAGCTGCAAATCAGTCTCCCCACGTGGCATTCAGCCCCTCGTGCATTTCTTAGAGGAAGAAGCTGTGTCTGTATAAGACTCTCATCTCCTCCTCTTCTCCACTGACCGAGCAGCTGTGTAGACCCTGGGGACCCCAGAGTCAGAGCAGCCCATAAAAGGCAGGCTGGAGACAGCAACAGGGTCCCACCCTGTGGCCTTTGCCCCAAATGGAGCCTGCAGTCCAGGCCGGCCTGCCGCCTGGACAGCAGAGTAGGCCAGGGGATGAAGGCATTCCCAGACTGCAGCAGGCATAGCCCTGGCCACCGCTGTATCCCCTGCACCCTCAGCAGGCTATCCGTGATGGCCACTGTGCTCCAAGCACTGTGCTAGCCACCCCACAAGCTTCTGCAGTGTGCTCTTAGCTCGAGAGATGGGGCTAAGAATTCCTCTGATCCTAGAGTTATAGCCAGTGGTGCCATTTGGCCACACTTCATTCACCAAGGAGTGAGGAGTCTCATGGAGCTTCCCAGATAGCCAAAGTATCGTCCTTCCAAAGTCTACATGTTGTTCAAAGTTTTACTGTTTTCCACTAGTAGATAAGACCTTTTATCCGTGGTTTCTGCACGCTTCCTTGCCCCAGCTTATGATTGGAGCTGGACCAAAAGTTCACTTAGAAACTTATTGCCTTTAGTTTGGAATCTGGAGTATGATATGTAACTTTTTAAAACAGTTCATATACCCATTTGAATATGCCTAAAATAATCTCTCCCAGGACGCCCAAGAAGCTGTGGATGGTGTTTCAGTCTAGGGATGGGGACTGGGATAGGATGGGAAAGAGGAACTCATTTTATAGTTTATACTCATCTGTACTAAATAATTTTTCCTTTACCTTGAACATGTATTATTTGTTTATATAGTAACATGTAATTTATATATATGAATAGAGGTAGAGACAGAGATAGAGATTTAGATATAGATATTTAAGAAAGAGGTCGGATTCCCAGACTAGCTCCCAAACCCCATTCAACTCATGATGTAGCAAGCAATAGTAATAGTGGACATTATTAGCCCGCTGTGTCATCTGTTTCTATGGAAAACCCGAGTTCTAGAAATAGTTCACCCTGAGCCCCAGAAATATCTCCTCCCTGCCACTTTCTCTCCACATGTCCCACCCTCTAATAAATGCTGCCACAGAAACAGAAGGAAGAGCTCCTTCTTCCTGTCTGCAGGTGCCACGGCACAGAAGGATCACTCTCCTCCTAGCGGACTCTGGCATGGTCGGGCCCTCTATGTGGGAGAGAAGTTACACTTACTAAGCATCCACTGTGCCAGGCACACTGTGCGGTCTGTCTCATACTTTACCTACTCTGCTACTGTCAGGAAACCCAGGTGCTGAGAGGTTTAGTATCATCCTGAGAGTGCTTTCTAAAAATGGACAGAGCTCAGCTTCCAACTGATAAGCTTGTGCACTGTCCTTTATAGATCAGTGACCCTCCAGCAGCACCATTTCTTTATAAGAGGCCTGTAAAGGTCAAGCCTAGGTAGGCACGTTGGACACTGCCTGAGGTTCAGTAAGATCCTCTGTCACGGAATCCCTTATTAGACAGTAAGTGACCGGAGGGCAGGAGTCTGTCCTGACCACCTTTGTATCTGCAGTGCTTAGCACAGTCCTGGAAGTATGGTAAATTCCCCATAAATGTTTGTTTGGTGAACAGGAAATACTATTGTTTGTTCTGCTCTGCTTCCTAAGATAGGAAATTGGAATCATATATTTAATTGTTTTCAACAGCAAATGATGAAATAAAAAATATTTTCTCATTAACCTTCGGGTGATTAAGAAATTCAAATAACTGAAGTGCTATAAGGAAATTTTTTGGCTTACAAGGCATCCATTTATAGGTACAAATTGAAGGGATACCATTGTGAGTTAGAACAATCTGGCAGGCTCCAGAACCCAGTCGTCAAGTAGAACATTTGTATTGCTCTTCCCTTGGGGAAAACCTTCTCCCAACTCCATGTAACCAATCTCCAAGCCAATTCTTTTAGAACACAACCAAAAGTCAGGGCAATGTGACATTGCCCTTAATTTGAAGCATATTCTGTGGCTGGTGACTCCTTTCAGTAACTCAAAGTTGTTAAAAGAAAGAAAAGAGCCCATTTTTTTCTCAGCTGTAAAGGAACTGGCCATCCCATAATAACTAATTTTACCTGATTTTCACAATGTGACAGTCTCTCTTCTGGGGGGGTCTACGTGCATTAGTTTACTGCACTCTGAACACAACCTTATGAGTTAAGTATGATTATTTTCTCCATTTTTAAAGGAACTGAAGCTTGCAGAAATGAAACTACTAATTAGTAGCAGAACAGATATTAGAACCAAGGTCTGGCGGACCCCAAAGCACTCATAGATGGCCTCCCTTACAACACAAAGACTAATTGCTTCTCAATAAGATGAGGAGAGGGAGGAGACTAATCCCGCAGACAGTCTACACGAGTCCATCCACACACGGGATCGGTGGATCAACAGTTGCTATTAGAACCACTGGAATTGGCAATAGCAAAGCCAGTCTTGACCACGGCAAGAGCTACTTTGGAAGAGTGATGAACAGAAGTTTGTTTGCCTTTAAAAACAAAAGGAAGAAGTGGACACAATGAGTGTAGACAATTCTTTTGATGAATTTCGTTGTAAAGGGCAGCTGAGAACTGGCGGGAGTTGGGGAGAGAGGTGGGGGGAAGAGATGTCATGAGATAAGCAAATCATAGGTGCTGCTAAGGTCAGAGAGCCATTGGATTAAGATAACAGAGTAGACTGGAAAAGTAGGAGGTGGTGGGTGGAGGGTAGAATGTTTGACATCGAAATTATGGATGATGTCATTGTGAAAGCAGGGAGCCTGGAGAGTTGGACGAGGTCAAGGAAAGGAGAGGACGCCGAAGAGCTGAGAGACCAGAGGACAAGAAGAATCCACTGTGTAGATTCAGAAATGAGAATTATAACAGGACTGGTATTGGGGAGAGTGACAGTGATCCAAGTACCCACATCTTCAAGGAATGAGTTGGAATAACCCAAGGGTCTATAGACGGCTACAATAAGTAGGAGTGGTGGTGATGAGCCATGAATTCCTGAGGGCAGATGGGGGGATTCTAGGAAGTGGGAGGGCTTGGAGTGACACATGCAAACATTCACCCAAGCATGTTCCCTTCATGCACTTGGGAGCTCCCGTTGTCAGGAGTGGGGGGAAAAGAGGAGGACAGAGAGACAGGCCAGGCCGCTTATGGATGAAGCCCCAACCTGCTGCTCCAGCATTCCTGCGTAAGCAATGCTGGCCACAGTGGCTTCTTTCTGTCCTCCCAGGTAATTTGTAAACCAAAAGCTGACAGTGGAAAACCCAGAGATGGCTGAGTGTTTATAGAATTAGAGCACACTGGCACAGATCCAGGGGCCCTCCAGCTGCTGCAGCTGGTGAGCTGGTTGCTCTGAGACTGTAGACGGCTCCCAGGAGGTTGCCCAGACTGCGGACTCCCACTGTCAGTCTCCAAGGCCGGGGACAGGAGAAGGGACAACCATTTTCTCAGTTTTCTCCTTCTTTCCTCTTAACTCCTTCTGGCATCCATGCGGGCTGGCTCTCTGGAGCACATCCCCAAAGCCCAGGGCCCTCCCAGGCAGAGCAGTCAGGAAGTCCTGGGGGGGAAATACAAAATGCATCTGCCCAAGTTATTCAGGCCAGTGACACGGAGAGGGAAGTTCCTGCAATCTAACATGAACTGCTTTAGGACCTACAACATGGACTCTGAGACCATAACTTCTGAATCTACATTCTGTATTTGAAACCACTCAACTTTTTATGTAGAAGCAGCTCTGCTCTGCTCTCCTTAGACGGTCACACACACACACACACCTCACAGTGCTGTGCAGTCATCCCTAAGTTACTTAACTTCGGAGGCTCAGTCTCACTACCTGTGAAATGGAGACCTACTAACCTTCACCATTCGAACCAGGTGGTCTCTTAAGGGGAGGAAATATTGTTTGAACTGCAGTTAGAATTCCTGTTCAAAAGGAAGGAGGGGTTGGGGGCACACGAAGCTACTTCTCCCCTGGTGCAGGACATATTCAAGCTCTGAAAATCCGGCATCTCCTCGTGAGAAGCACGGAACAAACGATTTCCCAAGCATCGGGGTAGGGCAGACGTAATACAAGAAGGCAGGGATCGTTTTAGAACTGGTTATGCTCCAGTTTTTAATAAACGGCCAAAGGGGTGGGGGCGGGGGAGGACACCCTCCAACAGGGAGTTGGGAGGCAGCGCGCGCGCCGCTGCCGAGCGTGACGGCCACGGTCGCCTAGCAACGGGCGGCGGGGATGCGCGCGGGGCGCCCGGCCTGGTGGGCGCGGGGAGCTCGCCGCCGCCACCGCCGCCGCGCGCCCGCGGGCCTCCGGTACCCGCCGCGAAACTTTGGGGCTTCTCGGCGCCGGGGCGTCGACGTGAGCCCGGGGGACGCAGCAATGCGCCTCGCGGGCTGAGGGCGACAGGATGAGGTCGCGGCCCGGCGCGCCGGGCCCGGGGATCCGCGGGGTCGCACCCGCGGAAAGTTGGCGCGCACCTGCCCGAGCCTGGGAGGCGCGCGGTCCCGGGTACGAATTGGCCCGGCAAGTTTCTTTGGCAATTTCTTACCCCCTTTGGATCCGGTGTACCGAACCCCGCCTGGCCCCCGGGTTTACGGACTCCGATCTCTGCGAGAGAGAAACCCGCGCTTTTCTAGGGTACCTGCGCGGTAGCAGATGCTTGATCGATTTGCCCTGAGTGATTGCGATTCTGTTTTTGTTTTCTGTTTTGTCTTTTTTTTTTCCCTCTTACTCCAGACAGTGAGTTTGTGGAAGCCTCTCCCGAGCCCTACAGCCCGGAGGAGTTAGGTAAGTCTAGCCCTTTGCCTCTTCTCAGAATTCCGCCCAAGAACGGAGAGTCTGGGGGTGCCAGGACTGAATCAGCTGGAGGGGAGGAGGGATAGGGTCAGGAGGCACCCCCCAGGAGTGCTTGGGGGTGACAGGGGAAGTGTCAGATGTGGCATGGGGGGGGGGCGGTGGCGAGGAGCGAGGCTTAGCAAACTTCCCGACCTGGGGCCTCTGGAAGCAGCTGGACTCATCCTACCTGTAAGGACACATTGGTGGCTGTCTCTGCCCAACCAAGGACCTTGCCCGATTAGGACCTCGTGAGGGTAGTCCATTACTGAATTGAGTTGAGCGCCCCCAAGGGCGGTCTAGTCACCACCTGGGAGCTGTGTCCCTCCCTGTAGGTGTCTGGGAACCGGGGGCATTTCGTCCTCCTGTGCCTGAACCTGTAAGTGTAGACTTGTGGTGGGTGAACTGCGACCCTCCTGTCACAGACAGACTTCCTTGTGCGGAGAGAAGGAAATTTGCATTGTCAGGATCCCTCTCAATATTCCTGCCACCCAGTCTCACTTTGGTGGCTCAGCGATGGGTTCCCTTTTCTTTCTTTTGGTCCTTACCAAATCCCACTCCACCTGAAATAAAACTCCACCTCAGCGATGACTCTCATGCACCCAAAATAGGTCTGCATGGAGGATGGCATTCCGAGACAGGGGAGAGTGCCTTGTTTTATTCAGAAGGTGTGTGTCTGACAAGTTGCGAGGCCATCATTATCTCTGTAAATGGAATCGCAGATTAAATGCATAAACAAAACTAGCTTTTAAAGGCTCACTATAGTGAATCCTTTTATGGAATGAAAATGACATCTACACCACAGGTTTGCATGAAGTGATTTATTAAGAGGGCGGATATGCGGTGAAGGGCTCTGCTCGTGTGTAATTGTGTATTAATGACACCAGCCCTGGCACTCCACAGTGTGACAGAAGCTATTTGGTTCTCTTAAATTATAGATCAGCATAAGCATTCTATATGGGCTGAGCATTCCTTGCTCTGAGAAACCTCCTGTATACCTACTAAATTGTTTGCAGTCACGGAATGATTTAGGCACCAGAAAGGGCCCGGGTGTTTGACCCTCTTTTGTCTCCATATCTACTTCCGGCAGCAACAGACTGGACTGCCCTCGGTGCTGAGGCACTGATATGTAAGGGGAGCCCTTCAAATTAGCAGTAGAGGATAAGGAAGCAACCTTATTTCTCTTCAGCTTCCCTGGGGGAAAAGCGCAATTTCTCATGAGGAGATATAGGAGCCATGGGGTTTCCTCCTGGGCTCTGAGATTGCAGGGTGACTGAGAATAGAAAACACAAGTCTGAGAGCCTGAGACCAGGGTTCTTGATAAATATGTTAACTAGCCTGTTTTCTCATCTTTGGAAAGCTGGGGTTGTGGCAGGTGACCCCTAAGGTGTCATCCAGCTCCAGTATCCTGAGATGCTGCCAGGAGCCTTGAGCCAAAGGAAGTACACAGCTATGGGTGTTTATTATTGATATTCATGGGCCATGCTATTTGCGTGCATGGTGTCTCCAAAGGGTTATTCTCTCCCTGTCAGAGCAGCTCACTGGATGGGACTGCGTTGCTTCCTTGCTGCTCAGATCAAAGACGAAGCTGGCATTTCTCCCTTGGAAAGAGTCATGATAGTTTTTGGTGCTTTTGTTAGACACACAGTGGGAAAAATGCCTCTTACGGCAGTTGATGAGCTTGTCAAGAAGCCATTCTTTCTGGAACACAGATGAGCACAGATTCAACCCCTGGCCTGCAGATGAGGGACCTGAAGAAGAGGTAGAGGGAAGTCATAAAAACTTCGTTTGAATTCTATCATTGCATTTACTTGTGACTTTGGGAAGGTGGCTGAACCACTCGGAGCCTTGGTTATCTCCTTGGCCCAACTGGAGACCTTGCATGGATGTCATAGATGGTGTATGGAAAGCCCTAGTACCTGAGTTGTATACTCAGGTCTTCAGGGAGTGCTCACTGTTACTATTATTCATTTGAAAGGTACTTATTTCCTGTGCGTGAAGGATGGAATGGCTCTTGTCAATTGTCCCACCTATTAACCGATACCATTTTTATTTCTAGAAATTTCTCTGCAACTTACCCAGTCTCCAAAAACAGATGGTCAGGGATGCTGATCCGGTCAATTGAGTTATTTAGTGATTTGTCCCTGCAGTAGCACATGGAATGGTTTTCCATCTGAGATCTTTGGTGACAGTCCCATTGCTTTCTTGTGGCACGATTGGTAGTCTGTTTCACCTCCAAATTCTCATCTGAGTCTCCAAGTGCACTGCACTGGCCCTTAGCATTTTATCCTCAGTGTTGCAGCAAGATCATGTAATGAAATTAAGTTACAAAAAAAGGAGGTTTTGAAAAGACAGTAGAAATAAGAGTCTTATCTCTAGACGAATGCTGTATTGAAGGCTGCCTGTGATGGAGAATCCAGAAATAAGCCCTCTCTCTCTGGTGGTGCCATTTTCTTCTTTCTTTCTTTCTTTCTTTCTTTCTTTCTTTCTTTCTTTCTTTCTTTCTTTCTTTTTAGGATTTTTTAAAAGTTTCTTTATTTTGAGAGAGAGAGAGAGAGAGAATGAGCAGGGGAGGGGCAGAGAGAGAGAGGGAGAGCGAGAAACCCAAGCAGGCTCTGCACTGTCAGTACAGTGAGCCTGATGTGGGGCTCAAACTCATGAACCTTGAGATCATGACCTGAGCCGGAACCCAGAGTTGGACACTTAACCGACTGAGCCACCCAGGCGCCCCCGTGGTTCCATTTCCTAAGGAGGCAAAGCCCACACCTCTTCATAGCCTTTCTATAGTCCCATCCCTAGGCAGAAGTGATAGCTCTCTAAACCCAGAGGTGACCATGTCTGCCCCTGTCTAGTAACTTTTACTGACTCCCTACTACTTGGAGGATGGATGTTTGGTTAGGCATGGGAAGACCTCCATGATCTGCATCACCCCCACCCACTATAACTTTGTAGTTGTATTTGAGCCATGTGGCAGTCCTCTAAATTCAGCCCTGTTCCCCGTGCCTACGTGCCCTCCCTCCCTCCTTTCCTCCTTTTCTTCCTGGCTGGCTCCTACCCTTCGTTCAACACTAAGCCTAAGTGTCCTGTCGTCCTAGTGGTTCTCAACCCTGCACGTCAGAATCAGGGTTGCTGTTAAAAGTCCTGAAACCGGGGTGCCTGGGTGACTCAGATGGTTAAGCGTCCAACTCTTGATTTCTGCTCGGGTCGTGATCTCACGGTTTGTGTGTTTGAGCCCTGCATAGGGGTCCCGCTTGGTATTCTCTCTCTCCGTCTCTCTGCCCCTCCCCTGCCCATGCTCTCCCCCCCCCCCAAAATAAATTTTAAGAACTTAAAAAAATAAAAACGAAAGTCCTGAAACCAAGCCTTCACCCTGACCAAGGACATCAGAATTTCTAGAATGTGGCCCCAGGCGGCAGTGTGCTTTTAAAAATCACATTTCCAGTGATTCCAGTGTGTAGCCAGGTTGTGAGTTACTGGCCCAGATGGTGGCCACCTCATTCTCTGTAAATCTAGCAGCCAGCACAGAGCCTGGCATCAGTAAATGCTTGTTGAACGAGTGAGTGATGGCGGACCCTGGGATACTGTGTCTTTTCAGATACCTGTCTCTAAGATTGGATCCTCTGCTTGTTATCACCATGCCTTGGGGACCGAATCCTTTGACCTGTGCCTAGATCTCTCTCCTTTGTTCATTCGTTAGGCTTATCCAGTTTATTTTCTACCTTTCTTAAAAATTGAAGTTTTAAAAACATTTTTTAGTATAAAGGTAACACCTGTTTATTTTAGGAAATTTGGACATTATAAAGAGTGGGGGGAAGTCCCCTCCTACCACCCAAAAGCAGACAGATCCCACATTCCCTTCACTTTTCCTGATGTGCTGCCCTTTGGGATTGCTTGACCCTCTGGCGTGCCTCATTGAGCTCAGTTGTTGCTGTCTGTGCTCAGACCCTGCGAACTTTCCTCTGAGTCCCTAAAGGAGTGCCCTTGAAGATGGCATTCTTGGAGGGTACCTGGGTAGCTTAGTCGGTTAAGTGACCGACTCTTGATTTTGGCTCAGGTTATGATCTCACAGTTCATGGGATCGAGGCCCACATTGGGCTCTGGGCTGAAAGCACAGGGCCTGCTTGGGATTCTCTCTCTCTCTCTCTCTCTCTCTGTCTCTCTCAAAATAAGTAAATTAAAAAAAAATTATGTATAAAAAAAGAAAATACCATTCTTGGGAGCCATGCTGCTGAGGGCTGATATACCATGAGAAGGAGTTTTCCTTGTGCAATTCTTATTCTCCTCATTCAAGCAGGATGTATGGGCTCTATTAGAATAAATGATGACATTTGTGTAACGTCTTTAAAATGATAACTTAAATGTTTACCAGCCTCCCCCCTTTCCTTCCTAAAATAGGAGATGAGTTCACAGCTCTGGATAATATAGTATTTCTGTCTGTCAGAGTACAGCAGCTTGTTCAGTATAAAATTAGTCAGGATGGGCTAACTGCTGTAACAAACACACACACATGTCAGTGGCTTAACATGATAAAGTCAGTGTTTCTTGTTTGTGTTACAGTCATGTTGACTTGTCTCAACCTGGAGGTAACATACTCACTTTTCATATTCCCAAGGTGAGAACTGGGCCCGTAGCCTCACCTAGAAGGAAGGAGGCTAGGCAGTGGAGTCTAGTAATATTCCAAGAAGGAGAGAACACATACACTGGGATCATCAGCAGTCTCTGCCAGTCATATTGCTTCAGCCACGATGGCTGAGCCATATCCTGGCCATGTAGGTGCCAGGTCTTTGTATTATTTAGGATACTGGTTTGGCTGTTATAACAAAAGCTAAAAGGACAGTGACTTAAATAAGAAACAAGTTAGTTTCTTTTTCACTTAGAACATAGGCAGGTACTGTTATGGTGGCTTCTCTGTGCTCCGACATCTTGAAATATTGCTTCCACGCAGTTCAGGGTGG